TGTCATCAGGATCACCTGAGTAATGCAAAGGGGGGGGGGGATGGAATCTTCTTGGAACTGTTGAAAGGACTTTGTAGACTGGAGATAGATGATGTTGTATCCCTCCCCCTCTTTTGAGAATAGGCTGTTCAGTTTTGACATAGGTGGCCTCTTTGACTCCTCTTTCAAACCAGCAGTCCTCTCTGTCCAAAATGTGGACTTTGCTGTCTTTGAAAGAGTGGCCTTTGTCTTTTAAATGCAGATGGACTGCTGACCCTTGTCCTGATGGGTTTGTTCTCCTATGTTGTGCCATGTGTTTGTTTTGTTGTTTTGTTTCCCCAATGTACAGATCTGCACATGGCTCACTGCATTGTACTAAATATACCACGTTGCTCAGTTTGTGTCTGGGTGTTTTATCTTTGGGGTGGACAAGCTTCTGCCTTAGTGTATTCTTGGATTTGAAGTGTGCATGTATGTTGTGTTGGCTGAAGATCATCCTGAGCTTTTCCAATATTCCTGCAACGTATGAAATGACTATGTTGCTTTATTTATTGTTTTCTTCTTTGTCAGTTGTGGAGGAGCTCCTGCTGGGTCTTTTTGGGGATTTGATGAAGGCCCACTTGGGATAGCCACAAGTTCTGAGGGCTTCCTTGATGTGTTTTAGTTCTTTTTCTTTCCCATCTTTGCTGGCAGGTAGGCCTTCAGCTTGGTGGTGTAGGGTTCTGATAACTCCCATTTTGTGCTCCAGTGGACGGTGAGAATCAAAATGTAAATATTGATTTCTGTGTGAGTTTGTGTGTTGCTTCATAAAAACATATACTATCACCTGAAGCAGCATATAAATATAAAATCAATGTTGCTGAAATCATATTTCATAAACAAAATACGTTTATTTGTGAACCATTTAGAGTGATTGGGAATTGAACAGTATATAAATTTAATAAATACACGAAAATAAATATGATATATATTAGAATTGGTTATTCTCTTTCTCTCTCTTTCTCTTGTGGGTGGGTGGGTATTTTTATACAGGTCATGGTACACAGCCAAGTAAATGTGCAGTAGCTGTAAAAAGGCAAATGACATACCAAAGAATATTTGGAAATATTTGGAATACTTGGAAAGGCTACCAAAATTATAAAGTCCTTATTCAAATCTAATGTGCATCTAGAATACTGTATATAGTTTTGGCAGTCACTTTTTAAAAAGGATGGAAAAGAACTAGAAACAGTATAGAATAAGGCAGCCAAGAGAATTACTTTACAAGAAAAGATCATAATGTTGGGGACTTTCTAATGTTTAACCTTAGAAAAAGGCAACTTAGGCAAACATAAGCAAGATATATAACAAGGAAAATCAAAAGGAATTTTATTTCTCCTCTCAAAATATTAGAAACAAAGGTAATTCAATTAAATTAAATAAATAAATAAATAAATAAATAAGCTAATTAGGAGATTTGGAACTGACAAAAAATTTCTTTAAACAGTATATAATTAATCCATGGACAAGACATGGCAGTGGCCTCTAATATGGCTTTTTAGAGGGAGGATTAGAAAAATTCTTGGAGGACATGTTATAGAAGCATAGACTCATAGAATCATAGGGTTGAGGAGAGAATGTGGTGAGTCACATGGTTAGAACTCTGGGTTAACAATCAGCAAACTAGTGTTCAATAACCTGAGTGCTGCTGCATGACGGGGCAAGGGCTTGTCATTCAGCTTCTGCTGACCAAGCATTTCAAAAGTGAGTAATCACAAGTAGATAGATAAGTACCACTTGGGCTGGCACATTAATAGGGATATGAAAGGAGCCTCCACTTAGTCATCTCCTGGACTACACTGATGTCACCAGCTAATCCTTTCAACTCAGAAGTGCTTTGATGCATCCAACACAAAAGCAGCAACATAGGATTCAAGAGAGTGTGGAGGTCTTCTAGATTACTGAAGGCAGGAGACTTCACAACATCTCAGACAAATGGTTGTTCAGTTTTTTTTCTTGAAAACCTGCAGAGATGGAGATCATCAAAGTTTATTACTCTTGAAGCTTCAGTGTTATCTCTGGACTTGGCAGCATATCTCCTGATAATATTATTGAATTAACAGGAGAATATGATCCCTTTCATCTTGCCATGTTTGCTACAAGATGGGCAGCAAATAAATTCAATAAATAATTAAATAAATTGTGAGGAGGCACCTGATGGGCTGTTGGAGAAACAAAAATAGATGCCCATCTAAGAGAGTGCTTGGTAAGAATCCGTTAGCCATAAATGATGGCAAGATTCTTAGCTCAGTGTGCCTTTGCCCAAAATAGGATAGATTAATATCTCTTATTTGTGCATAAACAAGCAAAGGTCTCCCACCAATCCAACATGAGAGGCCCTGTGGAAAGATTGGGAATCGCTTTATACGATATATAGTTCAAATCTATTGATTTTGGAATGTGTTCTTTCATTGGTCAGCATCATTTGATTCATCTGTGATGTAGCCTAGGTAACATCTAACACTTCATAGCATCCCTTAACGTTCATAACATGATCTTGTTAATGCCCAATTGTATGTTCAATAGGTAAGTTTCTCACAATATAATTAGTTTTCAAGTTACTAAAGTTCAAATATCTGGGCAATTCTCATCTTTGGCGGGTCTGAACCGGTTCTTATCAGAATCCACTTTCCAGATGAGGAATTTGCTTGTTACTTCAAAGACCTAGAAATATTAATCAAAAGCACTACTTCTTACTGAACACATTTATGCAAGGAAGCCCCTCTCCAGCTCCCATCATTCTCACCTATCAAGAGGGGGCTCAGTGGTTATTCTCTGTGCCATCTTCCTGCCCCGAGGCAAGGATGGACCCTGCTCTCATAGATTTCAAATAGCTCATAAAAGCCTGATTCTTCTGGAAAGCCTTTGGGGATTGACCATGGAGCCACTAGCATCAATTCTTGATACTTGTGATTAATGCAATTGTATTATTTATTGGAACATGGAAATGCCTTCAGACAATGCTGCCTCCCTCAACTAAGAAAAGGAGAAGAACACCGCACCCTAAAGTCGGATACAACTGGACAGGGGAAACCTTTACCTTTACAACAGATCAGTTCCCTTGGGACTACAAATTACTATACAACCACACTGAAATGGTCTTGTGTAACTCTTAGGAGTACCTGATCATTAACCTTATTTAACATCTTCATGAAACCCCTGGGCAGATCATCTGTTGATTCAGGGTAAGGGATCACCAAGATGCATATTGTATCAACAGTACATCACTACCCCAACTGAACCACTGATGCCATGGAGATTCTGAACCAGTATTTGGAGGCTGTAAGGCTTTGGGTGGGGCAAAACAATCTCAGATTAAATCCTTCCAAGAGTGAGCTATTTTTTTGTCAGTAAACAATTCAGCAATTTAACAATAACTGACTGGGCTCATTCTTCACATGAAAGAGTTGGTTTGTAACATGAGGTCCTCCTGAATCTTAGTTCCTCCAGGAAATCAGATGAAAGCTGTGAACAAGTCAGTGGATGGGTCTTGTCCAGCTACATCCAGTAAATCAATTACTGTCATACTTTGACTAATTCTTGCTTTGATCACCACCAGATTATAGTTACATGCTGCGTAAGGATGCCTTGGGAGATGACGCCAAAACTGTCATTGTATAGAACACAAGGGCAAGATTACTGATTGCTTCACCAAAATCCAATCTGTTTACACCATCTAAGGAGAGCATATTCTTTTCCTCCACTCTTTGTGAAGTTCATGGAATGTGAACCAGGCCACAGACTTTCTCCGTGGCTCCTATCTCATACAACATTAATACCAGGAAATATGGGCGGCTCCAAAGCTTTTTGGTTTCAAGAAGTAAGTGAAAGAAATACTATTTGAAGACTCTGGCCTTTATCTTTGCTGGAAGTCCATAATTGCTGAGAATTACTTTTTCAATTGCTTTAACGTATTATTACACTTTGAAGTATTGTATGCCCCAGTTTGGGGTGGCCTATATAAATATGGAATAAGTAAACGTGAATTTAGCAGGAGGGGCTGAGCACAGGCAGCCTAAAGTGGAAACCTTCTAAGGGAAAATGCAAGTCATTCCTTAAACTCAGGTCAGGTTAAGAGTCTACTCAAATTCTAAGCAACACCTGAGCCAAAGGGTGGGGGGGGAAGGGAAGGGCATGGATCGCACGTGTCGCAATCCGGCTCTCTGCGCACACCCCATACCGAACCGCTCCCATTCAACGTTATGACCCCGCCTTTCCGATCCACTTTTCCACCAATCATGGATGAGGGAAGAGTTACAAGACTCCAAATCCCGCCTTCCTTAAAAACCTTCATTTTGGAAGCGCAACAAAAAAAATTCCTTGCTTTTTTCTAAGCTCCGCGAGTTTCCCTGAGCATTTGCGTCACGTCGCTCTACGACGATTGGAGAGTCGCACCCTCGTGCGTAGAGCAGCAGTCCGCCTCGCGCAGGCGCAGAATGGTCTATGGTGTAGCAACTCGCCAATTCAGCTGCGCATGCGGAAGGGTTGGCCCTCCGTCCGTTCACATCCTTTGACGTCAGGGAGCAACTCCTGTCTGCAAGAAAGGGAGCGGCCGCCAAATCAGCGTGCGCGCTCCTGCTCCCTTCCTCATCCCTTGCGTGAGCGTAACCCCGCCCCACCCGTTCACTGAGTCCCTCGGCCCGGGTGTTCGTGTGTACGGCCTGCTCCCCTCCGGAGCGTGACTGACTAGGAAAACCGAGAAGCGCTCGCCTGAGGAGGGACCGAGGGGCATGAAGTCGAGCGCAGCCGCCATCGCTGTTCACCCGTGAGGAAGCTCTGCCGGGAGCCAAGTCATACAGTTGCTGCCTGCCCTGCCCGGCCGCTGTCACCAAGGCAGCCATTTTGTGCCTCCCCTTCCCTCCCTCAGCTTGCCGCCGCCTCCTCCTCCTTCGCCACCGCCGCGGAGCCCGGCCTTGTGCGTGTAGTACTGAGGGGGTCTCGGAGGGTCCAAGGCGGCGGCGGCGGCGCCTGCTGAGGCAGAGCCTGGCGAGGAAGTGGCGCGCGGCGCGGGGGGGCCCCCATGGCGAAGAAAACCTACGACCTGCTCTTCAAGCTGCTGCTGATCGGCGACTCGGGCGTTGGCAAGACTTGCGTGCTTTTCCGGTTCTCCGATGATGCTTTTAACACCACATTCATCTCCACCATCGGTGAGCGAGAATTGGGAGTGCCAAGTATTGCGCCCGCGGCTTTTTTTTAATGCTCTGCCTTCCCTCCAGAGAGCCTCTTTTGTGCCCTCCAATATAATATTTTTATTTTCTCCGCCATCTCGGCTTTCTCTTTTCGTTTTTTCTTTTTCCTGTGGCAATGAAGGTGCGCCTGTAGGAATGTCGGTTCCATCTCCCCCTGAGAAATTCTTCCAATGCCGATAAGGGCAAAAAATGATGTGAGTTTTGGGCCACAATGTGTTGAGGTAGTTGGATTGAGGAAGTTATTTTATGAGATAACCGCACCCCAAATATCTTGTCTAGATATCCTTTGTTCCTGTTCTCTGTCTCATCATACTTTTCAGTTTTGAATGTAGGATAATCCTGCTTTCACCTAATATTTTTAGAGTACAATCCATTCTGGAATAATCTTTATTTCTTGGTAATGTAACTGCTGACTTGATGACTTTTCTTTTTACTTTTATATTGTGTTGATATTTTGCAATCTCTGCCTTCCATAAGAAAAAAAAAGTGTTAGCTGTCATTCCAGCTGCACAATGAGCTGTGCTTATTCAAATAACCCTTGGCTTTTGAAAGGGAAGGGCAATTTTTTTAAAATACATTAACCTGTATGGCTAACTGTAGTTCAGTGATCTGTAGCACTCTTTGGTCCTTTTGCTAACACCAATAGTGCATACTCCATTTCTTTCATTTTAAGTGGAGTATGACTTTATACCACTGTATCTTACCAATGCCACATTCGTTCCTGGGAGTGATCTCAACATCATCCAAGGTTTTCTATTTCTCCCACACCCCCTAGTGTTGATACTGCTTGTTCATACCCTATTAATTTTCTTAAATACATGTCCTTTGTGCCTGATTTCTTTGTTCATATTTGTTATATATTTTCAACTGCTACTCTAATGTCCCCAATGGACATCTAGTTGATCCATGTATACAGATTAATGGCTGTTGCCTTACTGGCAGTTTCTGATGTTTGGAGGAAAGAAATTCCACTATGATGGAGGTGGTAGTGATTTCTGAAAATCTAAAAATGTGCAAAACAGTTTTTTTATTTCAGTGCTGGACTTAGATGGCTGTTCTTTGAGACTTTTAAAAGTTTTCATGGCTGGAAATAGATCATTGGTTTATAAAATAGCCCATTTTTTAATGTGACTTAGGCAGATTGTCTAACCATTGTGTAAGATTAAATCATGAGTTTTGAATGAAAGCTGTATTCTCCAGCTTTACTATCGGTATTAATGCTGAGGATGCAGAAAATATTGGCCCTGTATACAGATACTTCAGATTCTTAAAAGGAATTGAATTGAATCAAACCTATTAAAATTATTCATTGTGTTTTGCTTTGCACACTTTAGTTTAACAAAATATTCTAAAAATCTCAAGTTACAGGTATAGGTTAGAGGTATCATTTGCTAGCCACTGCTGCAGTTTATCATAGTGCTGCTGGGGACTTTCAGCTGAATATGAAAGTAAACATTGTAGGACTGTGCAGGGCTTCCAATTCAAAAGCAAAAAGGGGCTTCTGAGTTTAGGGCATGAATATAGCACCTACCTGTGGCTCCTTAAAACAGCCCTGCCTTTTGTCCCCTGCAGTTGCTCTATAGATCCAGAGTTACATTTATATAGACTAGGTCAAAAACTATATACAGTAATACCTTTACCAATAATTATAAATACTTTTTGAGCATCATCTTAGCTATTCTCACTTCCAGGCTAGACATTAACATTGAAGAACAGTATGTGGAATGGCAAATAATCATATTTATTGGTGAATAATATATAATTTTCATTGAGATAGATTTCTTTTCTGAAAGGTCTGACTGAGGAAAGTTTAACTTTTTATTAGTGGCAGCAGTTAATGTTCATTTCCTCAAGTTTACATATAGTGAATGGATTTGTTTGTTCTGTAAGGAAATCTATAGGTTTAGGATGTTTTTCAAAGTTCTAAGGAGCAGCCATCTTAGAGTTGATCCACATATTATGTACATTGATACGTAGAACTATTGAAGATAATTACATCTTGATTATAATATGCATGTTCATGTTAATTTAGATGTAAATGTAAATAATGTAATATGTAGTGGCTTTTGATTTATTACCAGAAGCTTTCACTGAAAAAAAAATTCCTTAAGGAGATGCATAAAAGTTGGCAGTTTTTATGTTTTCAGAGTTAACATAGATACTTTTTACAACTGATTGCTGCTATACAGACAGAGAACTTTATTGTTTTAGACATTAAATGTAACCTCTAATATTTATCTTTCTAGTTTTGTCTAATTTAAACTTTAAATTCACTACTTATAGGTAGTCCTTGACTTAAAACCACATTTGGAACTGGAATTTCAATCGTAAGTTATTGCCACTGTAAGTCAAGGCACCTGATTTATTTTTTTTTACAATTTTTGTAGTGAATCACCTAGTCATTAGGCAAATTTATTTTGTTTGTTGGAAACTGGCAAAAAAGTCACAAATTGCTGTCATGTGACTACAGGATGCTGCAGTCATTCATAAATGCAAGCTGGTTGCTAAGTGCCCCAAAATGTGGTTATGTGATCATGGGGGAAACAATGTTTTATGAGGCCCAAAAGGGCTTTGTAGACTGTAATGCACCTTTTCCAAGGCTGTTGTAACTTTAAACGAACAACCAGCCATAAGTTAAGAACTATCTTAGCACCCAAAGGAATGCTGGACCTCCCTATAACTACTTACAACTTGGTTCCAAAGCTCTGACAGCCGCACACACACACTCCAGCAGTGACATGATCACATTTTGGGCACTTGGCAATCAATCCACATTTACAGGTTTTAGCAACATCCTAGGATCACATGACTGCAATTTATTTTTTAATTTATTTATTGCTGGAAATGGGTTTATTTTCAGTTTCAAGCAAAAAACTCTCTTTGGCTAAAATAGGTTCGTTGTGATTGCCACAAAAAAGGTGGTAAAATGGAGAATGGTCACATAGTGACCCATTTAATGACTGGCACAACTTGCAACCATTGTAAGGGGTCAATTATGGTCATAAGTCAAGATATATCTATGGTTATCAATTGCATACTACTCCCTCTTGCTCATTTAAAAACAGAAGCTTTGGAAAGCCTTTCCTTTTGATGGCATAAAGGTTAATAATATCAGGGTTATTTGCAAAAATTGAAATAGTTGTTTAAAAACATTTCATCTCTTACTTTCGCAGCATGATACAGATAGTCCTCAGTTAATGACTACTCATTCAGCGACCGTCTAAAGTTATGATGGCATTGAAAGAGTGGGGACTGCACCTGGTTCTCAAATTCACATCTGTCCTAGAGCTCTTGTGTTCATCATCTTGACCAGGGGTCTTCAAACTTGTGGACTTCAACTCCCAGAATTCCTCAGCCAGGCACGCTGGCTGAGGAATTCTGGAAGTTGAAGTCCACAAGTCATAAAAGGACCAAGTTTGAAGACCCCTGATCTTGACGCTTGCCAACCAGCTTGCATATGCAACATTGCAGTGTCCTGTGAACGCAAGATCATAGTGAACGCAGGATCATAATATATATCCTTCCTTGCTGGCTTCCCACAAGCAAAGTTAATACGGAAGCTAGCAAGGAAGGTAACAAGCTGCTCAGTTAAGTCTCCCCTATCTGCGCACACTCCTCAGGCCTCACTGTGCTTGCATCAGACCTCCCTGGCCACTTGCGCATCCTCCCCCACATGGCAGCAGCCACCCCAAACCCCACTGTACTCGCACTGTGTCTCCCCACCACTCATGCACCCTAATAATTTCTCAACTGGCAGCAGTTACCCCAAGCCTGCCATACTTATGCCACTCCTTCCCTAACACCCGTGCATCTTTTCCCACCTGACAGCAGCAGCCACTTACTTACCTGCCTTCAGGCTTGTTTGTGAGCCACCTGGAACTTAAAACGTCCTGCCAATCTTCCCACTGACTTTGGTTGTTGGAAGCCAGCAGAATGTTGCAAGATGTTCACTTAACAACCCATCATCTTCTCTTAACAACGGCAAAATGTACTGCAGGAATTGCTGTCACTAAACGATGCAGTTACTGACGTAGTGCTTTGTGATTACATCACTTAGGGATGGAAATTCCACTCTCAAATTGCCACTATAACTTGAGGACTACTTGTAGTATGATGCTAAGGATCTGTTACGTGTGTTCTTTGTAGCAGCACCTGCACTTTATTATTTCCTTTTTCTAGCCCAGGAGTCCCCAAATTCTTCAGCTCACCAGCTCAATTAAGTTTCAGATAGTTCATCAACCCCAAAACATATAACAACAGAGACAACTCAAGGCTGCTCCCACTGGTGACTGACTATTCAAAACTGTCTTGCTTCTAACCACCTCATCTTCAGGACTAGGGACTGGTGTGCAGCTTTACAGAGACCTCAAAAGATGAATTGACCCCCGTCTACCATCTATTGTTTATCAACCACTTATTCATCCCTAGACATCTATTGACTCTTTGGATAGTTGCATCAATGTGTGGATATCTATACTGACAAATTTGGATGACGCTGGTCTAGCCTTTACCTGACTGTGTTTAAAGGTCCCTTGAAACTTGGCTTTTCCCCCAGGCCTTACATTAGACTGAGTGGCAGATCCTGTGTGCTGAGATGTTAGAATATTTTTTCTTCTTCTTCAGAATGTCTAGTTTTTGTTTTAATTTTAATTTTTCCTTTTTCTCTTTACAAACAATGAAATACACAAAACATTTTTTCTTTTTTCTTAACAATACTATGTCCTAGATCTCTTACATTTATTTACATTTATTTACATTACTTCTCATACTTTTTTATTCCTCAATTCTAACCAATTGTAATACATATCTTCTTTGTCCTTTATTTCTAAGGTAAGTTTGTTCATCTCACACAATCTAATATCTTACGTATAATCATTGCATTTGTTGGTATATTCTCTCTTTTCCAACATTGCGCATATGCAATGCGTGCTGCAAGAATGTCTAGTTTTTTACTGGTA